TCAACAATCCATCCATCAAAAAGGGCCAAAAGCACATCAGAACCCTCAACAAACCAAGCAGTTATCTCCTTACCATGTTCCTGCAATAGTAAGGATTCTGAGGAAGGAAGCAGCAGTGGTGACTCGAAGGCAGTTCCTGGAAAATCTCGCAGAAAGCGTGCAACACGTCAGTCAAATAAGTCTGCTGCCAAACTAGTGTCTAGTCACTCTTTGTCAACCAGAAAAACGTCATGGGTGCTTCAAAGTCTGGCTGAGGATGGAGTTTGTGTCCCAACACCATCACAGTCTGGAGTCTGGCGTTGAACAATCAGAGATGCAGAACAAGTTAAGAACCGCCTCATGGAACTGATCTCTGAAGAGAAATTTTCTTTCCATTTTGATGGTAAGAAAATTAACAAGACTGAGTACCAAGTGATGTGCTTGAAAAATGAAAAAAGAATATTACAACTTGGCATTTTGGTTTGTGACAGTGGATCATCTGCAAGCATATATAAACCACTACAGGACTTACTTGATGATTACAATGCATGGAACAGTATTCAGATGATCATCTCTGACACAACAGCTGTAAATACTGGTCGCAAGAATGGAGTTGTAGCCAAGCTTCAGAAAACATTTCGAGACAAGGGATTCGATAAACCTCAATACATCGGCTGCCAACACCACATTCTTGATCTTCTTCGATGACATATGTTGGATTTCTTTTTTCCTATACAGTCGCCTAACATTAACTACAAATTTGTTGATGAGATTATGGAGCATTACAATGATTTAAAAAATGCCTACAAGGGCACAGCAGTGGTAGCAGAGTATGAAAACCTTGGCTGGAGATATGACTTTAAATTTCTTTTTCAGCTTTGTGAAGCATACAAGTTTTACAAAAATGTGGAAAAATGGCTTTGTATCAAATGGCACAAGCTGCCATCACTGCACAGTGCCAGGTGGAACTCAAGAGGCATTTTTGCCCTTATTACATTTTTCATTCTTCCAAACTGGCGAGAACAGCTGAAGATAACTTGCGATTTCGTTGCAACTACATGGTCGCGGGTCTAGTTTTCAATCCAGCACTATGCAGAGGCGGCTTATGAAGACCTGCTGTCAGCAATATCCCAACTTAAGTGTTTCAAAGCTGTGAAATGCTTCTCTACCCACTGGAAGAAGGAACCATCAGTGCTTGATGTGCCTCAAACCAACATAGTAACAGAGAGAGCTGTAAAGTTGATGGGGAACATTCGTTTTTCTTGCAGAACAAAAAAATATCTTAACTGTAAATTTATTAATACTAATACACAAATCTGAAAGATTATTAACATCACTACAAATGCTGTAGGACAGTGTATTTCTCATGTATTTCTCATGTGTATTGTATATAAAGTTGACATATAATTATAATTAATAGCCTTTAGTTGACATATAATTAAAATTAATAGCCTTTGGGCTGCTATGTGTTGTATGGTTAACTATGAAACTGTCTTAGGCGCAGGAAGTTTTTTCAAAGTATGGTGAAATCAATGTCATTTTTGTGATTTATAGGCAAAAGTTCATCAATTAGAACCCCAGGCTAATTGATTTAAAATTTATCATATACCTAATATATATATATATATATATATATATATATATATAATATATATATATATATATAATATATATATATATATATATATATATATATCACTTACTAAAGCGTGTTTTGATAAGCATTTGCTCACTTTTTCTGCTTACCTTAACCCATACGGCTTTTTTAGAAAAAGAAGAAGAAAAAACAAAGAATGATGAATGAAATGATTGTTGCCTCATCCCAAACCCTCAGTCGATATAGCAGCACTCCACTGCGAGTCAGGCTATTTGTCAGTCAATGTATGTACTGAAGCCCCCAGCAGCAGGCTATTTCAGTATGACGTCAGATTGCTTACCTTAGTACGCAATACTATTTGTATATATTATCAACCCTCAGAATTAGGAAAAATGAGGTATATATATATATATATATATATATATATATATATATATATATATATACCTCATTTTTCCTAACTCTGAGGGTTGATATATATATATATATATATATATATATATATATATATATATATATAATATATATATATATAATATATATATATATATATATATATATATATATATATATATATATATATCAACCCTCAGAATTAGGAAAAATGAGGTAAATATATATATATATATATATATATATATATATATATATATATATATATATATACTATATATATATATATATATATATATATAGTATATATATATATATATATATATATATATATATATATATATATATATATATATATCAACCCTCAGAATTAGGAAAAATGAGGTAAATATATATATATATATATATATATATTATATATATATATATATATATATATATATATATTATATATATATATATATATATATATATATATATATATATATATATATATATATATATATATATATATATATATATATATATATATATATATATATGAAGATTTTATAGGTAACATTCATAGGCGCACACTTACACTCTTTAAGCTATTAAAAATTAACCGATAATGGAAATGACTTGAAACTTTCCAGAAATGTGAAATACTATCATATAATTTAGTATGCAAAAGTTTACAGAATAAAGTCTTAATCTTTTTTCAAAAATTAACCAAGTTATTAATTAATTAATTAAGTAGCATGACACTTGTAATGTTTACTTTTTACCACTTCTCAACAAATCAACTTTGTCAGACTTAATGCAGCAAATAGCATGATAAAAAAAAAATCATTTGGCGTGTGTATTTAGTACATATTGATATTATTATATGCTGAGTTTTATAGTTTTTACTTTTGTTCTTGTGACGGTCGTAACTGTGACAGTCATTACAAAAAATCCAATATTAAAAAACAACAAATAAAGCGTCTCAATCAACAATGTAAGAAAAGTATATATGGTTATTTAAAACCATGTATGTACCAATAATGTTAAAAAAATGCACTATAACATTATCAAAGTTCTCAATTATGGTTTTACAATACGATTTTTAATGCTACACAACAGGACTGTAAATAAACCTCTCAACACGTTTTTACAACCCTTTAACCTTTAAAACTATGTTATGGTATGATAAAATGCTTTTTTTAAATATTTTTTTTGTTTAAAAGTATTTTTAACTTGTTAAAAAAAAGAGTTAGAGTTTTATTACTTTTTTGCTTCTTTTTTTTTCTTCCTCTTTCTCGCGGAATTTCCCACATATATATATATAACAGGCTTTCCCCAGGAAAGGCGTGCGGTCGCATGCATAGAATATAAAATGTTTGTCCACACATAGAATAAATTTTTCTCACTAACTGACCACGTTTTATTATTATGCTTTTCAAGAATTCGTGCCAAAACAAAGTTAAACGAAAATACCGCAAAAATGCAAGCAATCTTAAAGTAAATAACAGAAATCTGTTTCTGCTTTAAAATTAAAAAATTAATGTATATTATTTAAAAAAAAATTTATCTATATTTTATTTATTTATTTTTTCAGGGTTGTAGTTATTTTAGCTATGAAAAATCAAATCAATAAGAAAAATCAAATCAAAAAGAAAAAGATTAATGTTTAAAGAAAATAAAAGGACCTTTTAATGTAAAATTTGTTTATGACTTTAATCAGTCAGTAATACTTTAAAATTCACGATAGAACTATAAACAATTTTTAAATGTTTCGTAAATGCATTTAAATGTTTAAATGTATTGATTTAAATGTTTGAATGTATTGATACGCAAGAAAACACGAAAACGATTGCTATTTATTAGTAAAATATGTTGTTTTTTTTTAAATGAAAGAAAATTTTATTGTCAAACGATTGAGTTGCTTATTTTGCAATCATTAATTGACATTGTGAACGAGTGTTAATGTATAATAATGTCCCGAAAGAACTGTTTTCGTAACAATGACAACTGAAGCAATGCAATTATTTTTTTAACTTCTTTCGTAATTACAAAATTATGCAATTGAATAATTTCAACGTAATAAAAGGCGAGCATTGACTTAGTTTAGAATAAGTCGAGAAAATTTTGTTATGTTTAAAATCTCAAATAATATATTTAATAATTAAAACAGAAATTTATTTTCTTGTCAAAGTATTGGGGAATAAAGTCAACGCCTTTGCATAAACCTTCGTAAAAACTAAAGTAAATGAGAAAGTTTAACCAAATTTGTCTAGCGTAAATAATGAATCAGTTTTTTAATACATTGTCTGATAAAGTTCGTGAATAAATTACATATCAAGTCTTTTTATTTTCGTGAAAACTTTATGACTTATTGTTGTCTTTTCCTTCACTTATATCAAATTTTGTAGCTGAAAATAGCAACCCTTAAAAAAGCAAACAAAAACAGTTTAAAAATTTTGAAAAAAATGTTCAAGACTTTTTTTTTTTTTTGTTTCAAGAATTTCTTTTTTTTTTAATTTTTTTTTTATTATCAAAATATTTCTCTTACATCCAATTTCAATTTTATACTTTGTTTAGCCTTCGTTTCCTTTTTTTAATATTATTTTTTATTCTCTGTGGATAATTTCCGCTTTCACACGAAATATTGCCGTGGTCACGTTTTCTGAAAAATTTATTCTATGCATGGACAAACAAGGCGTGCAACCGCATGCCTTTCCTGGGAAAGCCTGATATATATATATATATATATATATATATATATATATATATATATATATATATATATATATATATATATATATATATATATATATATATATATATATATATATATATACATATATATATATATACACATATACAAATAGTATTGCGTACTAAGGTAAGCAATCTGATGTCATACTGAAATAGCCTGCTACTGGGGGCTTCAGTACATACATCGAATGACAAATAGCCTGTCTCGCAGTGGAGTGCTGCTACATCGACTGAGGGTTTGGGATGGGGCAGCAATCTTTTTTTATTTTTTTAAATTTTAATTCACCTCCTCAAGGCCGAGAAGGCCACTACAGATGAAAAGGCTACTTATTTGTGGCTATAACCCTCTCTCAACTCTATAACTTCGAAACACGAATCTTGACGAACAAGGCCGCTGCGCAGAGAAACGAGTTGAGCGCAGTACTACCAGGGACGTGGTGGGGATCGAACTCGGAACCACTTGTTTATGAAGCGAGCGCTCTTCCACTACACCACGACCGCATTTATTTCATTCATCATTCTTCGTTTTTTTTTTCTAAAAAAGTCGTATGGGTTAAGGAAGAAAAAAAAGTCTTATAAGCAAAGGCTTATAAAAATACGCTTTAGTAAGTGTATATATATATATATATATATATATATATATATATATATATATATATATATATATATATATATATATATATATATATATATATATATATACATATATATATATATCCTTATAGTGTAGTCAAAAGAGACTTTTATGGTAAAAAAAGTCTCTTTCGACTACAATTTCAATTGCCTCGGCTCTTTAGCTGTGTTTGATTGTCGTCGAAATGTCACAGCAATTAAATTAATGCGGAAGTAAATTAAATTTTTTTTTTTTTTAAAAAAAACCCCAATAATAATGACTAGAAAGTTTTTTTAAATTAATAGTGTTTTTGTTATTGTTTTATTAAAAAATATATATTTTTAAAACATGGGCGGATGTACGTGTAGCGTTGCTACATCGACTATCTTATAGCCTGCTGCTACAAGGGAGTGTTGCAACTTCAACTATCTTATAGCCTGACTCGCAACAGAGTGTTGCTACATCAACTGACAAATAGCCTGACTTGCAAGGTAGTGCTGCTACATCGACTGACAAATAGCCTGACTCGCAAGAGAGTGCTGCTATATTGACTGAGGGTTTGGTTTGGGCAGGCAGTCTATCATTTGAAACAAAAAAAAATTTTTTTTCAAGTTTTTTAACTATTTCTGGTCTGGTTTATTAATGCACTCTTTAACTACAGTTTATGGAAAAGCTTTCTGACTACCATGCAAGGTTATATATATATGCATATATAGTATGCAAAAAATAATTGTACACTTAAAAAAAAATCATAATTTTAAAGATTGCATAAAAAATACAAGTTTGCCCGTTTAAATATTAAATTTTTTTTTATATATCAAGTATTGTTTATTAAATTGCTTTTCAAACCTATTAAATTTTACGCAAATGATCTAATAATGGATAAAATTGACTGCAAAAAAAATAATTGTACGCTAACAAAATAGGTTGTTATTTAAGCGAAAATCGAGCAAATTAAACAATCGAATAGGTAAATAAAATTGAAAATAGTAATTTTTTAAATACACTTCTGTTCTTGAAATAAAACAAAAAATAGTGTTTCAGCAAAATGGTGTCAAGAAAACAACATTTGCCTTTCCATCAACAAAGCCTTGTAGTTGATTTAAAAAATCAAAGAAAGTCCTACCGTCAGGTCCAAAAGAAACAGTAATTCCTTTTACGACAGTGTCCTCAATTGTTAAGATGATTGTTAATCATGATCTGATTGGAACCGTTGCTAGTGTGGCGAAGAGGCCGAAAATGCAAGACCACTAGTGCTATTGAATGCAATATCATCATTAATGTGAACAAAAATAGATCACATTAATGATGATAAGATCACAATATCACAGTGACTCCTCAAACAATCAGAAATCGTATTAGAGAACATGGATATAGAGTTAGAGTAATTTTTTTGGGACTCGGCATCCCTGATTTCCATAGAGTTTGACCAATTTGACATTTTTTAATTTACCAATACATGAATAAATTCTTCAAACAATACTTAAAAAGATATCTTTAAAAAATTTTAAATGTTTTATTGGACAACTCATTTTTTTGATGCATATATATATATATATATATATATATATATATATATATATATATATATATATGCATCATATATATACATATATATATATATATATATATATATATATATATATATATATATATATATATATATATATATATATACATATATATATATATATATACATATATATATATATATATACATATATATATATATATATATATATATATATATATATATATATATATATATATATATATATATATATATATATATATATATATATATTATATATATATATATATATATATATATATATATATATATATATATACTTACTAAAGTGTGTTTTGATAAGCATTTGCTCACTTTTTTTGCTTCCTTAAGCCATAGCGTTTTTTTATCGTTTTTTTGAAATATCGTTTACCGTTTTTTTGATAAGAATACCCTTTTTTTGAAAAGAAAAAAAACGAATAATGATGAATGAAATGATTGCTCCATCCCAAACCCTCAGTTGATGTAGCAGCACTCCACTGCGAGTCAGGCTATTTGTCAGTTGATGTATGTACTGAAGCCCCCAGCAGCAGGTTATTTCAGTACGATGTCAGATTGCTTACTTTAGTACGCAATACTATTTGTATATATATATATATATTTATATATATATATATATATATATATTTTTTTTTTTACATCTTGTGATTGAAGCAGTTGTTAAATAAACTTTTTAAAACTGAATGTGTTACAAAAACTTGAAGCATGAAACTTTTTAAACATTAAAGTTAGGTATTCTATTTATTATAAAAATTTTAAAATCAACTTTTTTTTTTTTGATTTTTAGTTATATTTTAATAATAGTTTAAAATAATAAAAGAAAACTTTTTTTCTATTTTTATTACTTTCGGTTTCTTCGGTTTTAAAATTTTTTGTTATTTTAATGTAATACATAGTCTTTTTTGATGTAATTTGCAATATTAATTCTATTTAAAAAAATTGAGTTTTTCTATTGCATTTTGTGTACATTTTTGCATTCAATATATTTAGGCTGGAGTCAATACTACTGATTGTTCTGAAAATGATGGAAAAAAAACGAAAAAGAAGAATATGGAGGATCTTAAAAAAGAGCTTGAGATGGTATTTATGAATTTTACTTTTTATAGATGGATTTAAAACATTTTTAATTTGTATTTTTGCACAGCACATTTGTGCAATCGTGTTTTTTGTAACACTTGTGCATTTACAAGTATGCAGAAAATAATATTTCAAATATATTTTTAAATTTAAAATTAACTTTTTCTGCTTATTGTTGTATTAATGTTGACATGTTGATGTATAACTATGTACCAAAAATAATGTGTAGTACTGAAATTTATCAAAAGTTTCATATTGCAATCAGCAAAACTTAACAACATATTGTTTCTAACCCACTAATTTAGATTTAATTGTTGCAATGTTTTTTTTGGGTACTGTTTGCCAAAATTTGTTATTTCAATTCTTTGAAATGAAAAATTGATGTTAAATTAATTTAACTTCAATATATTCAGTTATATGCTGCGTTTGTTAGTGTCAACAAAAAATAACTTTATGGAATCCATGAATGTTATGTATTAAACAAAATATTATGGAAATATTAAAGCAATTCTTTACGATTAGATGTCTTTCCTGGCATTAACCTGTTTTGCAGATCAGGAATCGATATTGTTATTGTGATACCAATATTATTCTTTGCTTACTTATGTTACTTTATGTTAACTTGATTCTCTTGCCTTTAACCATACTTAAATCAAGTCAAAGTTTTTCTCCTCTTTAGTAAAATATCTTTAACACAGCTACAGATCCGTAACTGCTTCTAATTTATACTTATAAACAAACACTGCAGCAGCTAAAGACTTCCTGAAAATTTAGGACTTAAAAGCTTTCATAAATTAATTAAGTTTTTAAATAAATATTCCTGAGTTCAAAAATTTTAAAGGTTTGAATAATGGTATTTGCTATGTGCCTAAATTTTAATTTTAATTTTAATGGCTTAGAATATTACAAACTGTAATTTTATTAGGATTTTTCTTTGGATAAACCTAACATTTTAAAATGTGTTTCACTTTGAACTACTTGCAAAATCAGTTTTTCAGAAATTTAGGTAAGAGAATAAGAAACAATTTTTTTTTTGAGCTTTAGTAGGTTTAATGGTTCCAGAGCTATTCAGTGTGATTAAAGTGGTAATAGAGCCATTCAGTGCAATTAGCATTAAAGTCACCATTAAAAATAAAATTTGCAAATGAGTAAAAAGAAAGGGCTCAGTGTGATCAGAATTTTTTGATCAATATGATCAGTATTGAAAAGAGTGCAGTCTTGAAAAAAAGGAAAACAATAAAGAACTAAGAAAAAAACCACAAGTAAACCGCAAAAAAACCACTTGCATTTACATTGTTTGCAAGTTGCTTGCTAAATCATGAATTTCTAGCCAAACTTATCACGCTTATCAAACTTTTCTTGGTATAATAATTGCTGACAGCCCCACTTCTAATACCAGCATAAAACCAGTGACCAAGTATTTGTCTAGAGTCTAATTTGACATAAATTTTGTCATCAAAAATTAGGAAGCCATCAAAGTTTAATTAGAATGTTGTTATACAATTTGCTTTTTTTGATATTTTTTTGGAGCTTTTCAGTATGGTTTGAATATTTTATTTCTTGATATTACCATTTTATCATTTTGCTCTTTCATAATTAAAAAGTCCAGAATTCTATAAATATAAACAACAAATTTCTGAGACTAACTTTTATTCTTAAATCCTTTCTTATGTCTAAATCCTGACAAGCTATTGATGGATAAAGATTCCTTGTAACATTTAAGAACCCAAGAAACAGTTTAATGGCTGACTTAATGTACTTAAAGAATAGTACATAGAAATAGTACTACACTCTACAAAAAAAAAAAAAAAGGTAGAAATTTCTACCTTTTATGTTAAAATATTATATCTTTAAGGTAGAAAATTGTATGCCAAGTTATTATTTTTGATATAATTTTTTTTTTTAAAACATCTTTGCTTTCAAAAAGGCTGCAAGCAACCATTAGTTAGAGTTGAAAGTTACTGGAAGAGAAAAGATAAAGATTGTAGAGCTTGACAGGCGACTTTAAAGATTGCAAATTGTATGAATCAGGAAAGCAAGATGAAGGAAGCAAATTCCAACGAACTGATGTTTGAAGTAAAAAACTAGAGAAATAAGAGTTTTTAGAGCACTTAGGAGCAGTCAAAGAAAAAGGATGAGACTTGATTGAATGACAAGTAACACGAGAATGAATTTTAGTAGATGGCACAGGAGGCGCTAGCTCTTTAGAGCAGTGCTCATTATAGTATTTGTAAAAATGAGAAAGAGAAGCAACATTACGACGATGTGATAATTGTTGGAGGTCCGACTATCTTTACAATGTATTTTTGCACCTTGTCTAAAAGAGAAAGACCATCATTAGAAGATCTGCCCCAGATATGGCAACAGTATTCCATAAAATGCCGGATTTGAGATTTATAGAGATAGAGAACAGAATCTGGATTAAGAAAGTGTTGAGCTCCATAAAGAGATGCAACTTTAGCAGATGCTAATTTTGCAACGGATTTGATATATGGTTTCTAAGAAAGATTAGAAATAAGAGTTAATCCTAGAAGATGAAGGGTAGAAGAACGGTAATGTACTCATTGAGTACATTACCGTTGAAATATAGGAAGGTCTAAATTATTGCAATAACGGTTGGCTGAAAAAAAAATATTTTTATCTTAATTAAAGTTCACCAGCCACTGTGAGCCCCATGTTGTAGCAGAAGTGAGATCCTTTTCAACCTTAAATGCCCCCTCCATGCAATCAGATAGTGTTGGCTTTTTATCATGACAAGAATAAATAGTAGTTTCATCAGTAAACGATGCCACCTTAGATATGAGAATATCTGGAAGGTTGTTAATGTAAAATAAAAAGAGTATAGGGCCAAGGATTGAACCTTGAAGAACCCCTGAGTTTACAGAATAAGAAGAAGAGTGCTGTCTATTGAGTACAACTTTTATACTATGATTGGAAAGAAAGGATTCAATAATCTTAAAGATGTTTCCAGATACACGGCAAAAAGAAAGCTTATGGAGAACACTACCATGCCAAACTTTATCAAAAGCTTTAGAAATGTCAAGAGCGATTAACCTCTCCACCTTTATCTAATGCACAATAAAACCTAGTGGTTAGAACAAGAAGGTCAAAATCCATATTGATGATTAGAAAGTAAGTTATTAGATTCAAGATTCAAGATAAAGTGTTTGTTTATTAAAGATTTAAAAACCTTGCTTATGATAGGAAGAAGACTAATAGGACAGTAGTTAGAAGAATCAGATCTTCCAGAATTTTTGAAAATAGGGATAACAGATGTTGCTTTCCAGCAGGCTGGAAAACTAAACTCTGATAAGTATTTGTTGAATAGTTTTGAAAGTACAGACGGCAACTCTGGAGAACACTTCTGCCAGACTATAACAGGTATGTTATCCGGGCCACAAACTGTAGAAGAGTTTAAGCAGGAAATCACTTTAGATACAGAAGCTGGAGTGATATGAATGTCAAGCAATGGATTACCTGTTTGACGGCTATATCAGGTAGAACGCAACTAGTGGAATCAAGAGATGATATTGATGAAAAGTTCTTAGCAAACAATTCATATTTGTCTTTAGGTGAGGTGACAAAGTCTGAAACATACAAGAGAGGTGGAGTTAAAGACTTGCCTTTATTATTGATACTTTTAAAGCTTCTCCAGAAGTCACAAGAGCCTAGTTTTTGTGATGAAGTACGAGATTTCATGACCTAAGAATAGCAGACTTTAGGGTTAGACAAAACTTTTTTACAATGGTTTCCAGTAGTGATAAACAAAAGTCTATTTTCTGGAGAATTGTTTTGCTGATATATATGGAAGTAATGTTTTCGATTGGCAATTGCAGCAATACAATGTGAGGAAAACCATGAAGAAGAGTGAGGCTTGACCTGGAATTGTCCAGAGGGAATAAAAGATTTTATGCCAGCTTGAATCCATGAAGTTATGTAAGAAGCACATTTATTAACAGGAAGAAGAAAGATTTCTACCCAAGGGCCATCACGAAGAAAGTCACGAAAAGAGTCCTAGTCAGCTTTGAGGTAGTTGTAAGAGGTACAATGATAGGAGGATTCAGATGATGAAGAAGAATGAGATAATAGTTTTATAGAGATCAAACTGTTATCTGAAGCACCTAAGGGTGAATGTGGAGAAACTGAGCACTGACTAGAATCAGAAACAAGACATAAGTCGAGTAGAGAAGGTAAATGATTCAGGTTGTCTGGAAAATGAGTTGGAAAGTTGACTATTTGAGTTAGGGATTGAGAATGGCAAAAGTTTTGGGCTTTAATGACTGCAGAGTCACTGACACTAGAGCCAAGCCATTCTGTGCGATGAACTTTAAAGTCACCAACAACAACAATATTGGCTGATGGATAAAAAGAGAGGGCTTGGTCAATATGATCAGAAATAACATCAAGAAGAGTGGCAGACTTGAGATGAAGGAGAGCATTATAGAACAAAGAGAAAGGCGATAGAGTGAAGCGGCGCTAAACAAAAGCACATAAAAGAGTAGTCTATGGATTCAAACCTAGTTTTTCGACAAATGGATGAATTTTTACTAATGTAAATGCCTAGGCCTAGCATATGACTATTGGAGTCTTTACAAATTAAAGGGAGATAATCATCAACACAAAGATCACGAGATGAGACAGCTGAACTCAAATTAGTCTCACAAAGAGCAAGTAGGTCTGGTGAAGACTCAACAGAAGAATAGTTACTTTTAAGACCACAAATATTAGTGAATGATAGGTTTAGAGAATTTGGTGATGAAGATGGTTTTTTGCATTTTATATTTTTTGTTTATTCATTTTTAAATTTATTAAAGAACTTGACTTGAAGTATTCATAGTACTCAGTACACTGTTTAATAGCCCAAACAATTGCCTCTTTACTATTAATAAACCCTAAGCTGTAACAAAGGGCTCCAATGTGGTCTTGGCAATGCACACCAAAAGTAAAAACAGGGGTTCCATTCATATGCAACATGGCATTGTTAATACTTTGATATTTTTCAGCTGTTAATGGAATCAGCCTCTCTGAGAGCTACCACAGATTTATGGAAACCTGACTACCAGCCATAAAAAAAACCATAAAAATGAGTTTTAGAGGTATACCCTCATTAGGAGATGATAGAATAAGTTGCCTAGTCATAAAACAGAGACACAAGTAAAACCCATACATCGAGTCAGGAAGATCCAGCATTCAACATCCTAAACTGGAAACAATGTATTAAAAATACATCTGCACCAGCCTAATAGATGAAGGAGGGGTGCAAGGCTGGTCAACAGATAGAATCTGTTTACCCCTTAAGTCTTTTCCTAGGAGGCTTTCTACATAATGGTAGCTAAATGTATTTAACATCTGTCCAAAATGAGTAATTTTATCGAGACACCAACTCTAGTTTTTACTCAACCAAGAGCCCCAAGGCTGGGTGTGTTTTATGTCAGAATTGGCATCTTTTACCCTTTGCCTAAAAAGGCTTATCCTTTAAGGCAGCAGGACATAAAGCAGATTTTACTGGGTTACATGTTCCCAGTAGCAGGATAACTTGACCTGACATCAAAAGGTATAAAATTATACCTTCCTAAGGATATATTCTAACCTAAGGTAGGATATGTGATATATCCTACCTTAAGTTAGGATATATCACATACCCTAACTTAAGGTAGAAGTTTCTACAATTTTTTTTAGTGTGTAGATGATAATACAGTGTTTTTTAAGTAATTGAGCATAATTTATTTATGTTTGATTTGTTCTTTTGACAACATTTTTGATAATAACCTTTTGAGAAAACTTTTGTTTATGTTTTTTGTGAAGTAGAAATACTGAGCTTTGTTTATATTTAAAAAGTTAACTTTTCTGTATTTTTTATTCTAAGTAGCAGAGCATTTAACTAGAAAGTTTGCGCCTCCTTCCTTACTATTATATTGTGCCTCCTTTCTTACCTGTATATAAGCCAAATAATAAGCCAAATAATACAAACCCTAACCTTGACAATATGCTTGCTTTAAACCCTAGATCTCCTGCTTCTAAAGCAAATACTATAACCGCTGTGCCACAGCGCAGTGGTTATAGCATTTGCTTTAGAATTTATTTGCGTTAGCTTTTTCAGTTTTGAGATGTTGATAACAAGTAAAAATTAATAAACACGGGGAACAAGAGGAAGGGGTCTTTTAGGCGGTTGGAAAAAATTTCCAAAAGTTAATGAATATTCCCTCCTGTGTAATAAACACCTAATAGTATGGGACTTGTTACTAAAGAGTTACACTATTGCAACAAGGGAGGAAGGAGGGGTCAAAAATTTTAAAACTTGATTTGCGAATGTCTTCTTAATAAATCATCTGAATGCGTATTCACCAAGCTTTCGTAACTCTTGTGTAGCTCGACTAAGTTTATGGAAACCATATATAACTATTTGGTATTCACTAGCATTTTGCAGCATTTCCATAAAGTTAAGTCATTAAAAAGAAAATCAACAAAGTTGATTTTCTTTTTAATGAACCAAGTTTTGTAATTTTATAAAACAAATTTTACTAACATTGAATTCATATAGTTTCTAACAAATTTAAATTAAGGATTGTTACTAATTATTATTTTTTACAGCTTAATAAAATGAAAAGATTTTTATAAAATTTTGTTATAAAAACTAAATAAATATTTTTATTGAGTACTTGTTTAGTAAAAAATGTTGTTATAAAAGTTAGGAAACTAATTTTAAGTAGAAAAGAGGAAGAGAGGGGTTCATAATTTATAAATCTACAAACAGGTTAGAAAGGGCAGGTAAATTTTGCGACTGTTTAATATACAATTAAGCTTGCCTTAAAAACATTCCTTTTTTCTTCAATTATAACTATCACATAAATAATGTATTTAAAATATAGATAATTAAAAATTTGTATACTAATTTGACATTAGCATAAACATATTTATGTTTAGAATTTGCATAATGTCTAAACAAGTCATAGATAAAACATCAAAAAAGTCTTTGTTACATTTGCCACATAACATTCAACAATATACTGCCTTTGATTTGCAAACAAATAGTTTAAATTTGTGTTCTTTGCACAATGCCAATTCGAATTTGGTTTTCTTGTGTTAATTAAGTCTTAGCATTGTGTACATCATCCTCATAATTGTTGAAAAGTTAATATTATCTAAACCTAAACAATTGCAAAGGTTTTCCAGTAAAATGCAAAGTTTTCAACTAAACTTGCAAAAAAATTATTTAACTTTAGAGAAAAAATTAATTATCTTAAAATCTTTTAAAAAAAAACTAATGTAATGCTTCATTTTACTGCATCTTATAACATTTTACTAATATTCAAAATATTTATTTTATCTATAAAATTTTGTTTTCTAGGATGAACACAAAATAGATCTTAAAGATTTGTTAATAAGACTGGAAACAAGTGTAGAAAAAGGACTCAGCACAAGCATTGTTGAAAGAAATTTAGCTCGAGATGGTTTAAATTGTCTTCAAGGTGTCAAAGGTACATCTCAATGGATAAAATTTTTAAAGCAAATGACAAACGGTTTTGCATTACTTTTGTGGGCTGGAGCTATACTTTGTTATATTGTAAGCATTATTCGTTTTACAAGCCAACCAGATCCAGTATATGATGAAGTGTACTTGGGCACTGCTTTGGCAGTTGTTGTTCTTGTTACTGGTATTTTTTCATATTATCAGGTGAGTCATTTATTGATTATGTTAAGTTCTTTTCCTTTTTTTTTTTTTTTAAGATTTATTTAGTGTTCATTTCAAAAAATAAAATCTATAGTAATTATTACTATTTTTGTAGAATTATATCCTCAATAATAAATAAAAATTATTTTTGTTTCTTCTTTTATTGTAATAGATATCTTTTATATAGAGATAATGCTTTCCCATCATAGTTTTCAATCAATGTATTAACTGAAATCCCTTCTTATTTCTATTTTAGTAGGTTGTTTCAGATAATAATATTAAATGTCAACTTGAGTTTTTAGTAAAAAAAATTATTTTTATTTTTTGATATTAAAAAATGCATGTACCAGGCTTTCACAGAAAGACGTGCGATTTCATGTCTTTATATGACCACGCAAAAAAAAAATGTTTTAATGATTTGACCACGGCATATTTTTAAAATTTAAAAATGCGCTACAAAAACTTACCTAAACTTATCTAAAAAAAAAATTTAAAAAAATAAAAAAATATTAACAAAAGAGAAAATAAAAAAAAAATACTAAGTTAAAGCAAAAACACAAAAAAATAAATATATATATATAACGCAACTAAAACAAAACTTATCAAACTAAAATGCTTAGTCTATTTAATTTACTCATTAAAAAACCTTTTCAATCTTTGTTTCAACATTTTTATATATTTTTTATTTGTTTAATATGTTCAAAAGTTAAATATTTCTCATAAAAAATACATAGTTATATAAATAAAATAAAAAAATTAATTAGAAGTGTTTTTTTTTTTAATTCATTAAAAGCATTTCGATAATATAAAAGCATTTAAGATCAAACTTATTAAATTAAAACGGTTTTCTAAAACTTTTTTTTTAACGAAGTTTTGTTTATCATTTTAAATGCATTAACTTTAATCATTCTTATATTTAAATTCGTTAAGCAGACTTTCGTAGTCGTAGAATGTCATCGTTTATAAAAACAAAACAATTTTTTATTTTTTAATAAGATTTATTTTAGAAATAAACATTTAAACAATTTATATGTTTTGAATTAAAAGAATATATACAACTGTCAATTGTATTTAAAAAACAAAACTTTTTTTCAGTAAATTGTTACTTTATTTAAAATCGTTTCGCTAATATAAAAACATTTGTTAAGAAGTTTTGATGTAATTAATTTCACTTTTTTAGAATATTTTTTATTTAGCGCGTTTCTAAAATGTTTTTTGAATTAGCCGCGGTCAAACTGTCATAGCAAAATGTAACTTGCGTGGTCATATAAAGACGTGGAATTGCACGTCTTCCTGTGAAAGCCTAATGTACTGAATGTTTGTATGTTAAATTTTTGAAAATGGTTACGTTACATGCATAACGAGGTAAATAATGTGCCAAAAAAAAGTCTAAAAAATTTTCAAAATTTTAAAATGTCATCTAGAGGTCGCCATCTTGAAAAAATAGCGTTTTTTACACTTTTTTCAAATTTAAACTTGAACAACTTAAAGAATAATTAATTTTATGTTACGCTACTGGGTGTATATATCAAAGGTTATTAGATGAAATTTGGTGAAATTTTCATAAAAATTGTTCAATGTCTAGAGGTCTAAATATTTTTTATTTAAATCTTAAAAAAAAAAAAATTCAACTAGGCTATTTTTAGGCTTCAGCTTTTCTAAGAATAATAATTAATAAAGAAGAAAGTAGTAATATAAAAAAATACTATAAAGTATTATCAGCTGTTTTACTGTTTTAGAATTTTGAAAAACTGTCAACAGTCAATAATGACTTGACTAAAAGACACAATCTTTTTTTTATTTACAGAAGTTGGGAAACTGAAAAATAATTGGTTGAATTGTTAATAATGAATCATAAAGCTTTTTGGGTTTTTCTGTTTGTTGGCTTTTATTTTTGAAAAAATTAAATTCAGCCTTTAAACGCCTGAGGTTACCTTACCAAGAAAATAATCCTGTTAACTAAATTTTATTTAGCAGTACATTAAGCTCTTATGTAACTAAACTTATTTATGGGCATTTCTATGAAACCACTTGTGGAAACTCAGATATATTTTGTCTATTAATTTTATAAAAACAGAATTGGCGATTTCCAATTAATCTGGTTTAGTTAATAAATTGTTGTTATTCTTCATTTTGCAAACACTCACGGAAATCACCAATAAATTTGATTCCTCTTTTGGCGTAATTATTTGTTAACTCTAATTGTTTAACAAAATTTTCTGCAGTTTGATAATCTTGGAAGAATTTCCACTCTTGTTGATTCATCTGGAGCCATTCCTGGTTGTTAATTAGTCCAAATAAATCAAAAAGAAGCCACGACCGTGGTCCAATTAAAAAATAAATAAAGGTTGAAGAATTTAATGTTGGAAATTTTGGTTTCCCAATTAAAAATGTTTTTGGTCTTGGGGTAGAAAAAAGTTTCTTTGCCATTATTGTTCTGGTAAATTCTGACAATTTTTCATTAAATAAAGATAAAATAACAAGCTTTTCTGTTAAATACCAAAGGTGACAGTTAATCGACGAAATCACAGTGGTTGCGATATCTGAATCTTTTTCTTGATACCAGTTCATTGCAACAACACATTATCAACTGGAGCAAATACGGTAATCCTTTAGCGGAGAGATTGCATCAAATAAGAAAGACTAATAAACTTAGTCATGCGGTGGATCATAATTTGCTCATTATTGGACATAATAAATTTATTAGATAAGAGTTTCATTTTAAAAATATATATAGAATGTAAAATAAGTCTCGCATTGTGAATTGCACCTGGTTTGTGAATTTTGAATATTCTGTCCATTGATAGTTTTCCCCAAGGGAGATAATAGTTAATTCAATTAACTCAAGATAATCTCCTTGTAGGAATATTTTCTCTTCGAGGCATTGGTAAGCCCATCTCAGAACTAAACTTGCTTGATTAAATATTTCTGATTTAATATCAGTAGGCCATTCAAAAAAATTAAAGTTTGAGGAATCAATATCAATTTTAGAAAATTCAGCTTGGAAACTTTTAAAAATAGGTTTATCTGGACTTTTGCTACCTCCTCGTAATGCGGTAAATGCATGTTTGATGTGTAGCTCATTATGATGATGGCGACATGCTTTGATACAACAGCAAGCAACCTGTGTTGCTTGCTGTTGTATCAAAGCATATATCAACAATGTTTTCCAAAATGTTCCAATCTTGCGCAAGTTTCACGGCCACGTCACATTGAGTTTTACCTGTCGAATCTTTAATCAAAAGTAAACCAATAAGTTTCGGCCTGCAAATAAAAGTCAAGTTAGTTTCTTTGAATACAAAAATAAAAAGTATACATAGGATTTATATAAATAAATAAAAAAGTACCTGTTAAGAGATCCGCTATTAAGAATTGCTACATGTTCTTCATTATGAGCTATGTCTAAATGAAAAAGCTTCGAATCCCAGTGCAAAATGGCCTTTTTAGGTTTGTTTATCTCCCAGTCAGCTTTAATTGACAGAACAATATTCTTCCGCGCATTTTGTCTTTGACGATGCACAGTTGATACTGACAAATTTTATCAAGTTTGCCTCTGCTTTTGCAGATATATATATGTTACTTCTGAGAGCTTTTTTGCTGATATCTCTAGTGAATTTGTTGAAGGCATTTTCTTTAGTGGTAAAGGAGTAAACTCTGTATCTTTTTAATCTTCTTCATCAGAACTTTCAACTAATTCACGGGCACTCGATTTTTGATCTTTGGTTGAACTTCTCTAAAAATCTATGCTTAGTCTATCTTCATAACATTCTAAAAATTTTGAAACACCTAGATCGATGCTACCTGTCATGTGATGTGACTTTCTGCTACTTTTTTGATCTTCATAAAATGCCCAACCCTCTTTCCATTTTAATCTACGTGATACTAATAACTGTTCATATGCATTTACTGCTGAAATGTCGCAAAGTTGCTTAAAGTTCATTACAAAATCTGACAATTTTTTCTTTTCCAGCGTTAACATCTTGACTTGCGTTATCAATTTTTTTTATTTTCACCTTTTTCCACAAACAATTTGGTAAGCAATGAAAGACAAGGGTTATCTGATTGGTACTCCAGCTTTTTCCCAAACTTCCTTAAGCTCACCAAGAACAAGTATTTTGCTTTTTGAATAAAAATGTAAATGAGAGTATCTACCCAAAACATGTTTTTTTGTTGGTAGATGACTAAAACTTGATAATTTATTGGATTCAGGGTAACCAATTAACCAATCTTGATTATTTTTTCTTAGGTTCACAGGCCTTGCGATAAAGTGTCGGGCGATGTGATTTTTACGTCGTCCAAGAGTTATTTTGCGTCTAGCTAGGGCTATTTGCGTCGAGCAAAAATTTTTTTGTTTGGGTATATTTAAAGATATTTTTTAGCGAAATTTTAATGAAGTAATTTACGATTATTTTAACATTTAATAAAATATTTTAAAAACCGCACGCAGTTGATATAAAAGTTTGAATTACAAAAAAATTAAATATGCTCATTATTTACAAGTAGAAAAAATTCAGATTAAAAAAAAAGTTTAAAACTTTTTTTTTAATCTGAATTTAAACATTTTAATAAAATTATTCAGCAATAGCAAAGTTGTCGATAAAATTGAACAAAAATACTTTCTTTTAGTTTTAGGTTTAAATAATTATTTTACGGGGGTTTATTAGGTTTTAAATTTATTCCATAGATTTAAAAATATTTATTAAATGTTAGACGTATTTAAAGTATTTAAGAGTTAATTCGAGGAAACATTTTAAAAATTGGTAAGCGCAAATAAAATAAAAAAGATAAAAGAATTGATATTAAAATGTATTCTACTTGATTTAATAAAAAAGTACAGTTATTAAAATTTTTGTAAAAAGTAACTTTTGTAAAAAAAAATTACTTAAATAATAACAATCGCTTTTTTGTTAAAAGTTACCGAAACTCAATGAAGCGTGCTCAAGAACAGCTGCTGAAAAGTAGTACGTCAATAGTTTGATAAGTTGATATAATCTGGTTTTGTTACCCGGTTTCTACTGATGTAAAGCGAATTTCCACAAACACCCTGAAAAAGGTTCGGTAAACGTAAAAATTAAAATAAAAATTATTTTGCAACCTGTAATCATAAGCCATTTCATAAAACTTAAAATATAAAATATATCTAAATGAGGACATATATAAAACGTGCATTAATTTTTTTTTCTTAAAAAAAAAAAGTTGTTTTACTACTACTGCTAGTGCAAGTAGATTTTATTTTACTAGAAATAAAATTCCTTGTAAATATTTTATTTATATTCTATTATATTTTTTAGTATTTATAAAAATAAATAAATAAAAAAATATTATATAAAATCGCTGGTAAAAATATTAGCTATTGCACAGTTTTTAATCGTACAATATTAAAAATTCCAGTATATTGCACGCTGACTTTTTAAAAAGAAAAAATAATTATTTGAAAAACTTTATTTTACATATTTGAGAAGTAAAAAAAATCAAATATTAGCATATTTTTTAATCTTTTTTAAATGTTTAGTTATAATTTTTTTATTTGTTTAGTATAGACAAAACGTGTCAAACGTCGAGAAAATAAAGAAAATGTTTTTACATTTTAAAAAATGAAACATTCCAAAACATTTTTAAACAATAACATTTCTACATTAATGATTTTAAGTAGTTTTGCGGTAATTAAGTAAATTGGTGCAGTTAATGTTGATAAATATGAAGAGCAAATGAAAAGAATTTAATGACGTCAAAAGTCACGTCCTGCTTATACGTCGCGCAGTTTTTATTCACAAGGCCTGGGTTCATTGTTACAATAAAATATTCGCTTATCTAACTAGTTTTAAGATATATATTTTAAATATATATATATATATATATATATATATATATATATATATATATATATATATATATATATATATATATATATATATATATACTATATATATATATATATATATATATATATATATATATATATATATATATATATATATATATATATATATATATATATATATATATATATATGTATATATATATGTGTATATATATATATATATATTTATATATATATATACATATATATATACATATATATATATATATATATATATATATATATATATATATATATATATATATATATATATACATATATATATACATATATATATATATATATATATATATATATATATATATATATATATATATATATATATATATATATATATATATATATATGTATATATATACACTTACTAAAGCGTATTTTTATAAGCATTTGCTCACTTTTTTTGCTTACCTTAACCCATACAGCTTTTTGAGAAAAAGAAGAAAAAAAACGAATAATGATGAATGAAATGATTGCTGCTCCATCCAAACCCTCAGGTACTTGGGTATTTTTTACTATTAAGATGGGTTAATATTAATTTGGTAAAATTGTACCGATCACATTGTTCGATAATTTTTTGTTTATGTATGCTAAATTTGGACCACAAGTAACAATTTTAACAATCATTTATTAATCACATTTAAAAAAAATAGTTTATAACATGTACACGTGCTATATAAATTAGTGTAAAGTTGTAAATAATAGCTCACAAAACTTGTGATATAGTTAAATGTAATTATATTTATTACCTCTGATAAAAGAGAAAAAAAAGAACCATTAATTTATTCAAGAAAGTGTATATGCTTTTTTCTGTTTGGCTTTCATCTGGTGTTGAGTAGAGGAACTTCTATACAAGTTTCTGACCATAAAAAGATATTAGATAAACTATTTGATATTGCAAGGTGTAAATGACCAATAAAATCATTTGAAGAAGTAATCTGTGATGGCTGCAACCAAAATCATCATATTGTTAACAAATGTTCTCTGAAAAACAAAACTCCTGCTAACTTCAATTTTTAAAGTCACAGAGGAATAAAATTTGTTCAAATCAATTTTTAAAGTCACAGAGGAATAATATTTGTTCAAATAGTGCTAATAGGTTGGGTTGATTAGAGAGAAGCAAAAAAAAAAATGATCAAAGAAAGCAGAACAAAGCAAAGAGTGTTACAACTGTATTATCAAAGGGAGTTATAACTGTACTGTATTCTGATGTATTATCTCAACATGATATGCTGTTAAATAGACACTGCAATCTTAAAAGCAGCCAAGGATGCAGGTTTTTTTAAAGGTAACGTTTCTGATACAAGTCTTGCTCTGAATCATAAAAAAATTGATCAGAGCAAAGAGTAATGAAAACCTTTAAAGTGAAGCATTAGAATAAGTTAAAAAAATGATAGACAAAGTAATCTTTGATGATAGAAAAAACCTTACAAAATTTGCTGTATATGGTTATGATGGCAAATATCACCATATAAAACATCACCAAAGAGAAATTAATAAAGATCACTATTGTTTATGTTCTGAGCCTGGTGGAGGATATTTATTTCACAATGTAAATAACTCAGAAGAGAGAGAAGGTTGAACACTTGTTAAACATATTGTTGAACAACTATATGATTGGATAACACATAATACAGGTTTCATTTTTATTTCATTAAAATATAAAACTTGTTATTTAAAACAATATGTTCAAAGAGCGCAGGCATTCAATATTTAGAGAAGAAACTAATCTGGATTATTTATGCTTTACATACCAATGAGTTGCCACTTAAGCATTTAATGTTAGCTTTGGAGGGAAAAACATTATCTGTCAACTATTTTGGAAAACTTATTAACAAAGCAACATTTTTTCCTATTTCCAAAAACAAACCTTAGCTTGATATTGCTGTAGACCTAATTCATCTTGAGAAGGAAGTTGTAGATTCTTTATGTACATATCAGAAGTAATTGTACAAATTATAAAATGCAGTAGCATCTGGTATTTTTCCTAATGATTTAAAGGAGATTTAAATTGGCCTATTCAATAATGCAAGATGGTTGAATCTTGCAAATAGAATATTCTTAGTTTAGTAAATAATGAATACAATGAATGCATTTTTTGTCTTGCAAACAAGTTGCTTCATGAGGATTTTTTTTATGTTTGCACAGCTCAATTTAATCAAGACTGTTTAAAAATTTTTTTTTGTATTAATACGAAGCAAAGGAGGCTGGAATTACAGGCCAACAGCAATGCAGTTTAAATCAGCATATAAAATTGTCTTAGTACTCCTTTCAATAAAATAATCTTACTCTAACAGTAATTGTCTTCCTGAATCAGATTTCTCAGCTGCAGTTACCATTGACTCAATCACCAACATAGTATTTGAGAATCAAATTTCTGCTAATGATTAATTGATTTTCAAACATCCAACTGCATTATTTAAAAAGAAACAAAAACCTTACGCATTACAAAACTGAATCAGTTTCAACTGATTCAGTTTCACAGTCAATTAATTAGGTTTTGAAATTAATTGCAGATGATTTGATAAAGAAAGTTCAAGTCAAAAATGTGTACAAGTTCTTTCAAGTGTGACACCCTGTGAAAGTAACTTATTTAATTCTGATTCTTTTTTACAAAACCTACTTCACGAAATGGAAACTGTTTTTATAACCCAAATGAAACTTATATTAACTAAAAAAAATATTATACAACAAACTATTAAAGTAATAAAAAACAATTGCAATTTTACATTTCTTTATGATAAACATATTGATTATGCTTTTCATTTAAAAGAAAGTTTAATCAGACACTATGTTTATATGAGAATATCTTATTATATAAGGTTTTATAATCGTGATCTGGCACCACAAAACAAGACATGTAAAAATAAGTTAGCTCACATTATCCATGCTTTATTTTATTTTAATGGTAATTCTTGAAAATCATTGATATAAAAAAAAATAAAGACATAGGTGACAAAAAATGTCAAAAGTAGAAAAAAATTATTTACATTCTGCACACACAAAAAAAATTGTTTGTGCAGGATGTAAATCTTATTATATTTGAAAAACTACTCGCCACTTAAAAACACGAATGATTGAACATTATAGAAGGCATATAAACTCTTATTTATAAGCATCTTCACTCAAAAGAAAAATGTTTTACTAATTATTGCGATGAATGCTTTTTGACTTTGGGTTGTGTCAATAACAAAATTGATTTAAAAATTAAAAAAATTATTCATTTAGGATGAAAAAAACCTGCTATGATTAAACAAAGTATTAACAAATAGTTTGATTGTCAAGCTTTAATAAAAAGCCCTATTCATTTTACAGTTTATTGTTAAAGCTACTTCTATAAATCTTCATAATTTTACTATGTAATATCTATTTCTTTGTTAAGATTAGGAATAAAAGCTGATGCTAGCTCTTTGTTGTAATTTCTAATTTTTCAGTAATTTCAGTCAATCTTTTTTTCTTATACTGTTATGAAAAAATTTGTGAAAAAATGAAAAAAAAAAAAAGGAAAAAAAAATTAATTTATTTAATAATTTTATTTTTCTTGAAAACATTTACTTTTCATTCTAGTCAATAAAATATTGTCAAAAATTTTTTTTTTCTTATTTAGGATTCAAAAAGTTCCAGAATTATGGATAGTTTTAAAAAACTTATTCCACAAGAAGCCACAGTGATGCGTGATGGTTCAAAAGTAACAATAAATCCCAGTTATTGTGTTGTAGGAGATGTTGTTTATTTGAAAAGTGGTAACAGGATTCCTGCTGATGTTCGCATTATTGAATCTAGAGGGATGAAGGCAAGCAGTTTTATTTTTAAATAAGCATCAATTTTATTAGTTTGACTGATTAGAAACAAGTTTATTGCAAAAAAAAAAAGTTAATATGGTAACTATTTTTTTATCCATTTAAAGAGATACTTGGTGATAAACTCCTTATTCTTTGACGAGTTTACTTTACAACAACGTATTTATATTCAAAGAAACATAATTGTTTTTTGAAAGAAAAATTGTTAATTTTCGTTATAAATTGTTTTTATCATTGTTATTTTTTTACATCATATTGTTTATATTAAGTTACATTATGTTATGTTATATATTACATATATGTCATTGAATTGTAATGAACTGAAAAGTTGTAAAACGCTAGTCAATTAAGCCAGGTTTCATTCCAAAACCACAGAGAGAGTTTAATTTATTTAAAAAATAAAAATCTGTATTAAACTAGTCATTGGCTACCCAAGGTATTTAGTATTTTTTTCAATTTCACATTTTGAAACAATATTATTGTTATTATTACTAATTACATTAATACTTTACAAAGTAGAGAAACTCAACAAAAAACTCAACAGATTATTTAAAAAGCATTAGAAACAATTTTATCAAATTCCTTTTTTAAATGCTGACTTCAAATTTTTTAACAAATGTTAGTTTATTAAACCTTCTGTATTTTAATTACATTTCAATATTGCATAAAATTTATTTCAAAATGGCATTTGTACATTTACAATGACCAAGTATAGTATTATGTTTTAGTAATGCACCTAAATAAACAGCCTGAATATATTTTATAATCTAAATATGTTTAATCCTTCAACCAGGGTTGGCAAAAACCCAGTTTTTTTTTAAAAAAAACCCTGGCACAGTGGGTTTTTTGGGGTATTTTTGGGTTTTATTGGGTAATTTTTTTTATTTATTATATTTTTTTTATTTCATATCTGTTAAATTTTTTTTGTTTTTTGTTTAGTAGTATTGAAAATTAATATAATTTTCTAAATTTATTTTTACTATTTTTAACACTATCAAACACTACAAAATGTTATTATTCAAGTTTAAGAATAAATAATCATACTATATAAACACAAAATTTTAAAAATATATTCACTAATATTCACTTTTTCTATGATAATTTGCAAAGCATGGAGCTGTATAAAGTCCTATGTTACATTCTACACATTCATATCTTGAATCTTTTCGAATTTTATGTTTGTAACATACCACACAATTTCTCTGACCATTAATCATTTTTTTTAGATGCATTTTTTTAGATGTCTAATAGCTAAAAATTAGGTAGCAAAAAAAAACTATAATTAAAAAACTTACAATTTGTACCAACACTTGAAAGTATTTGTTTAAATAAAATAATAACATTAATCCAAAATCACATGACACTGAACCAGTCTGGTTTGACCTACACATTAAACATTAAATATTGCTTTCTAAAGAATCTGTTTACTTTTTTGTTGTGAGATCCTTATATAACAGTCTCTATGTGTATTTGTTACACATAGAGCCATTAATACTAATAATGTCAAGTAATGGTAAAATAAAAATTAATACTAATAATGTTAAGTAATAGTAAAATAAAAACAATGTAGCTTCTAAGTTCTTTTACTGCTTTTACTTTTTTAATAATGCTTTTCATTAAAATTAAACAAGTGGAGACAATGATTAATTCAATACTTGTTTAATCCTTTAATTCCCAATTCTCTCTTTCTCAACCATAAAACACCGAATGAAAACCAATGTAATGGAAACTAGTTGTTTTTTGTGTTTCCTGAGGCATAGTGTAGGCCTCAAATGTCTTGATATTAAATAAACATTCTACATTCTACAACTCTGTGTTGCTAATTTTAACAAACTAAATGGTTTTAACTGATTTTAGAAAACTAAAACATTAATTAATTCTAATTACACTAAATTTGTTAGCTTGTTAGTTTTAGTTTGTCGGTTAGTTTTATGATTGTTTTTATAGGTTATTTACTTTTTATTTTCTTTTGTTTTAATGATTTTTTCAGTTGGTTACAAATTTTAGTTTTGGTCAAAACTCTAAATCTAAGCTTTTTTCTAGTTAGTTTAATTTTGTTAACAATTTAAAAAATATTTTTTTAAATTTTGGTCATTCCACGCCAAGTGGTCCAGAGATCCCCACAAAACCATCTCAGATTTTTCATAAAATAAAACTTTTTAAAAACTTTTTTTAATATTACCTAAAACTATTTTTTTTAATAAATAGTTTTAAATAATATTAAAACTGATAGATTTATTGTAAATAAAATAATTGTTATTCAGGTTGACAATTCTTCATTAACAGGGGAATCTGAGCCTCAATCACGAAATATTGATTGTACTTCTGACAACCCAATTGAAACAAAAAATCTTGGTTTTTTTTCCACCAATGTACTTGAAGGAGATGGTATTGGAATTGTTGTTAAAGTTGGAAATAAAACAGTTATGGGTCGTATTGCAAATCTTGCATCAGGATTGGAAAGTGGTAAAACACCAATTGCTATTGAAATTGAACATTTTATTCATATAATAACAGGTGTTGCTGTATTTTTTGGTGTCCTCTTTTTTATTATTTCAATGGGTATGGGCTATAATTGGTTACAGTCTTTTATCTATCTTGTTGGTATTATTGTATCAAATGTTCCTGAAGGTCTTCTTGCTACTGTCACGGTATTAACTTTTAAAATGTCATTAAAAACTTATTTGTTCCTAATTATTAAATATGTCACTTTCATAATTGTTACTTGCATTTTCTTTTATTTTAAGGTTTGTCTTACATTAACAGCTAAAAAAATGGCTAAAAAAAATTGTCTAGTAAAAAACTTACAAGCTGTTGAAACACTTGGAAGTACTTCAGTTATTTGTTCAGATAAAACAGGAACATTAACCCAAAATCGCATGACAGTTGCCCATGTCTGGTTTGACCTACACACTGTTGAAATAAATACTTCAGATAATCAACCTAGTTTTCTTGAGAATCAAAATTCACCGACATGGCAGGCACTTGCAAGAATTGGTGCGTTATGTAGCAGAGCTGATTTTAAAAGTGGTCAAGAAAATGTTCCAGTAATGAG